GTGCTTTTACTACTAAAATTATAGCATGGACTGATTTCAGTTGCTGAATTTCGTAAGACTTTGCCAGGTGACAACGTGGAGATCTGCGAAATGAGAGTGGCCTCGGCGCTAAGCACCACGCCTCTCTGGAAAGGCGTCAAGCCAACCAAATGTAAACAAGTACATGCTACTGTCGTCCCGTGGGTCATATCAGCCTTGGGGCACACTGACCAGGAAGCCATATTATCGCCTACGTGACCAGACCAAAACTGCACGCGAGGTGGGGGACATGCATAGGGGATACGGCGATAGGGGGATGCTTGTATTATCATATATATGCATACATATCACACACACACACACACACACACACACACACACACACACACACACACACACACACACACACACACACACACACACACACACACACACACACACACACACACACACACACACACACACACACACACACACACACATGCACACACACACACACACACACACACACACACACACACACACACACACACACACACACACACACACACACACACACACACACACACACACATATATATATATATATATATATATATATATATATATATATATATGTATATATATACCTCGGGACTTTAGGAGGTGGGGGAAAGGGGGAGGGGCATGACCTCCATAACTCGTCTTTCGGCTACGCCACTGAACTGCCATCATTGTCTTGGTTTTTTAGTACCACCAAGTCAGTTCATTAGATTAAATATAACGTTGCATGGGAAACGTTTACATACGTATGGGGCGTTATATTTAGGGCGGGAATGGTGGTGTAACTGCTCATATTTTCCGCTAGGGCACCGCCGCCTTGGATGCATCCCGTGCCATGCATTTTAAAACAGGCTGTAACATTTGTAAACCTCGGGTGCAGAGAGTAGTTTCCCACCCAGTTCGAGTAATTTCAGCCCCTTCTCAACTTGGGCTTCGCCTCCCCCCGAACTAGGTTTCAGTCATACAACGTTAGGAAGAAAGTGGCAAATCCCGGGGAGAAACTTACTTGTTGCCGGCTATTGGGGGCAGGTTTGGTCACTGTTAAGCCCCCTTCCCGCCTCTCCAACTCACTTTCAATATCTCCGAAGAACTCAGAAAAAATGGAACTGGAGTCATAGGCGGATCCTGGAGGGGGAGGGGGGAGGGGGCACGGGGCCCACGGCCCCCCAAAACCTTTGAGAGTATGTTTTGCCCCCCCCCCTAAAAAACATTCCCAGAACTTAATACAAGTTTCGTCTACTTACGGTCAGTTTTAACTTTAACTGTTTTAACCGTTTTGTTTTAACTTCTGTTTCAGATTCAAAAACATTTCGGTGCTTTTTTCGGTTTTGAATGGTATCCCTACTAGGTACTCGCGAGAGGCACCATGCACTGGACCTCGGATCCCACACCAGCCAGCTGGCGACGAACGGTTGCCCCCCCCCCCCCAAAAAAAAAACAAAGAACTCCGGGCTAGATCCGCCCCCGACTGGAGTCTATGCGGCCATCATTGAACCCCCTGCTGCGATCAGGGATGTTGTTGCGTCAATGAGGGTTTCTGTGCTGATCCAGGGCCGAATGCGCGGGTCAGAAGGCCTCCCGCGTCAGGGAGGGAGCAATGCCATACAAGGTATCCCTCTAATAGCCTCCAGATCGGCCAAGAAATCCGCTCCATGTCGCCAAAATGACAGCCAGAGGACACTTCGCGATAGGATACAATGGCCTTTCAGACCTTGACCGGAACCAGTAATGTGCTCCCGGTGCTCTACTCAAAGGGCCCCTTGCCCGGAAGGAAATAAGGGGTTTCATTATTGTTGAGTAGGGTGGGGGTCTTATTATTGCTGAATACAGTGGGTCGAGATGAGTATAAAAAAGAAGAAAGGAACGAGGCCATCCCATGTTTGTTTGAGAACGTTCATTAATCCGAATGGATTAGTGAAACAAATACTTTGTGGTGCTTCAAGGGCCAATCCGTTCCTATCATCAGTCTACAAATGGCATGCGTGAAATATACGCTCAGGCTTCCGTCTCAGTGTAACATTTAATGTCCTGAAGCGTTTAAAGGTACTTCTTTCAGGAGCGTCACCATTTTCGTCCACTCGTTGGCCACAGTTCAATATAAGGTACTGGCCGACACTGCACAACCTACGGAGACCGTAACGCCTGGCGTCGAGGTTTTTGTGACTAAGATTTGCGCACGCGCATGCTCAAAATTGCGTCACATATCTTGTATCACTTAGCGATTTAAGCGTTTAAAGGGAGTATTTTCAGAAGCATAATAATTTTCGTCCACCAGTGGGCCACGCCTAAAAGCAAGCCACTGAGCTAACGTTCCGCGGCCCATGGAGGCTGCAATGGCTGGTGCCGAGGTTTTTGTTGCAAGATGTACGAGCGCGCATGGTAAGAAAAAACACGTTACAAAAATTGTATCACTAATCAATTCTGACTGCATGTTGAACAATTTCAGAAAAGTATGGCCTGGCCAGGTTAATGCACATTTTTGACCACTCGATCTACAATTAAATTCACATCTTCAAATTTCGACCAGACATATTGATCTACAATTTACCTTTGTGATGTCCCTAATGTCTGTAGAACCCAGTTAAAAAATTATGACAAAGTTTCAAAATTCTATCGGTTTGGAAGGAGTCTACTAAGCCATTGTAAGTTAAGGGCGCCGGTGATCTAATCCGGTCGTTTAACGCCTACTTTCTGCAGTTTAATTAGTTCAAAACACAAACAAAATTGAACTCACGGTAGCTTTTGGCTTCTGATCTGATTACAGGTAAAACTAATGGTAAAACGAAGAAAACCGTGTCCCTTGTTAACAAGTAAGCTATATTTTTAGGGGGGGGGGGGTCACCATAAGAGGGACTTTTTCAACCCCGTGTTATCCTTGGCAAAACTCTGGATACGCCCCTGCCTATGCACAAAAGCGGATTAAGTCGCTTACGTTGAGTGATAGGCAATGAAATACCCGTTGGAGCAATTCATGACGAAGGCAGGTAGCTTCCTGGAAGTTTTTTTTCTGCGGTGGTGTGGTATAAGGGAGGATAAGTAGGGAAAAGACACTGTTGCAGATGCTCAGCATATGTTTCACATACCAATTAGTAGTAATGCTGATCCAAAAATATGCAGCAAACCGGCCATACGATCAGTTCGCGGTCAGTCACGCGGGAGACAGCCGGACCAGGGCAGTGGCCAACGACGGCAGACGGGAGCAGTGCCCAGATAAGGACTATATGATAGAACGGCCTTCATGATGTGGCTTAGTTCTTAATGGAGAATCTCCGGTTTTGTGGCCTTTGTCACGTCGTTTTTGGCAGTTTCAAGCTTCCAAATTTGTTTCCACCTAAAATGCTGCGGCAAGCCTTATCTCGTGAAAAAAACAGCCGGCGAAAAAAGGGCCATGAAAAATCTGTCGCACTATGAGCCATCGCTTCACTTTCAAAATTCTCACCAGCCTATGCCCAGGCCGTATTTTGGCATCTACCCTGTAGAGGTAGACACAGGTGCCGATTCGTAGCCTTTTCTGAGGATCATGCCTCCCCCAATGTTGAGTTGCCCCCTCCTCCCCCCCCCCCCCAATGTTGGCTTGGCCCACCGACGATTGTGGCTGGAATACTACAAAAAACGTAGATAAGACAGTGCTATTAGCCTCGTTCCTCTGAGAAAAGCAAGGAGAACGGAGATATAGTTGGGCATGTTGGGTAAAGGCTTCTTGCCGAAATATCAACCCAACTACATCTCCATTCTCGTTTTTTCTCCGAGGAATAAGGCTAGTACCACTGTCTTATCTATGTGAATAATGTTCCTCGCTAATGCACTGGACAAGTTACTTGAAAAACTTGGGTGAAGGATTAGCATAACACAAATATTATCTTCTTTGACCTTTCTGCGTAGTGGCATCTCGTACCACTCTGATAACAAAAAGTCGTGGCTGCTCTCACCACAAGATAAAAATCGTAGCAGCTGAGTGGATAAACGACATAATCAATTTCACGCACCTAGCGCCAGCGCCATAAGACACGCAATGGTTTGTGGGGTTAACGTGAAAAGTCCTGGAATATCAACTGACCAAGTCCTTCCTGACTAACATGACTTACCATCACCTGCAATCAAAATGCGTGCCGCCTCCCATGAACGTCATAGAGGGGAGCCATCGGCGACATGAGGCCTCTGAAGGGACGCCTTCACGTGCCGGTCAGAAGAGACGCGTGCGTCCAGTGCCTGATCCCTGGATCCAGACCTGCATGAATTCTATACTGCCTAGATTAAAGTGAGCCAAATCCAGTTAGAAAGAAATGAGGGGTAGATTGTCGGGCCTTTGGTCCGGCTCCCTCAATAATTTACAAAAATTGACACCCCTTGAGGCAGATGTCTCCTCAATAACCCAAAATGCCCACCCGCTAGGGGAATTTCGCCTCCCCAGGAAAGACAATGCTGAAATATTGAGATGGAAGAATCATCTTGGGAAGCTGTATAGCCTTATTTGCCGAATGATACATGAGTCCAAAAGGCAAGATTGTGCACAAGTGAGAAACAGTTCTAGATGCATATCTAGCATGGCAGTCACTGTATTTGAATAAAGAGCGATAACGACATCCATCTCTATCCCCCGCCTTCAGTCATCGGGCTTGCTTCCAGACAATTTCCTGAAGTATTCCCTGAGCTTGCTCCCACCTCACTTTTTGAAACGTTCTTACGACCATGCCAGCGGTCCGTGGTTCCCCACTCTTAGATGAACGTTGAAACATAAAGGCCTATCCAGAAATAATCTGCGTGTCGCTCCTCACTACCTATCCTAAATCCCCATGCCTCCTGGCCCCCGCATCAACATTACCTCACACAGCATCGAAACAACTGCACCGCCAGCATCAGCGCTGAACGCAGACCGGCGAAACCAAAGGCGGGTAACGTGGATGTCACGTGACTTAGCGGCAGCCAATCAGCTTCGCGGACGCTCTGGCCGTGAAAAAACGCTTCCATTCCTGGATAAGCGTCGCGAGCGAGAGGAGGTTAGCAGGGGGCGCGTTCGCCTCCAACACCACTCCTCACCCTTCCATAGCCCGGTCTATTGTCTTTTCCATCCACGTCTTCTCAAAAACGCAATAAATCAAACTTGACTGACAAGCATGAGCAAGCTCTACGTCGGAAACCTGCCGGCGGATGCCACGGAACCGAATCTTCGTCAGCTATTTCAGGATCACGGGCTAAATTGCACTGGCGTGTTGGTGAAGCGTGGTGGTTATGCGTTTGTGGACTGTGCAGACCAAAGTGTTGCGGATCGGTCGATCGACAAACTTAACGGTGAGTACCTGCATTTCCCTCTGACCGTTTGGCCGCAACAGCAACTTGTGGCGTCGCACATTACGGCCCGGCGTCTGGCTCGCCGGCCGGCCGGCCAACCGTTTCTTTGCTCATGAACCAAGATGGCTGCTTAACGAAATCCAAATGAGGGGAAATGTTATTAATCAGGCATCAGGAATGCATGCGTATTGCAATAAATGTCGTGCTTGATCTTTGCTGTATTTTCAAAGGACCGCGCCCGGTTCGCGGCTTTCAACCCTTTTAGCCAATGAGCGATTCCGTGACCTTGGATTGGGCGTCGGCATCAGAACTGGTTCAACAAGAAATTATTGAGGGAGCAGTTACATGTCTTTTTAAGTTCCGTCCCATGTAACGCTCACCCTCTCTTGGCGAATGCTGTTTTTCACTTGGGCTGTTGAATACCAGGACACCGCTGTCCTACCTTTTCATACCCTTGCCATCGCAATCCCCCGAATTCTTCTTGCCAGCGTTTGTTCCTTGCAACATTGGTGTCCAGCGACGCAGTTTGACAAAATGATTTGGGGAGGGGATAGAGCGGTGAATAATGGCCCAACGTACCCCGAAATATGCGAACAAACAGGGTTTCCCCAGATTTGGCCCACTCTCTTGAAGTTAGGAGAGGCTGAAGGTTTCCCAAATGAAAAGGAAACTACATATCTGTTATTGCCTACGCCCGGAGTTGTTCATTGTTCTCAGCCGGGCTGTAAACCGTGGAATGCAAGGTTCTTGCGTAATTTATGGCAGACCTTGCATTTAGGCCTGCTGGTGTTTCGTCACGTTCTTTTGCTGAACTCCATGGACACCTTCCCACAATTATATCAAGATCCAGCATCGCGCCTACAGAGCACGAGGACTTTCGGATAAGCATGCCCAGACCTGGCTATTGGAACTATTTGGGATCTGAGTGAGGTCACGTGACCCGAAACACTCGTAACGGGAAGACCCGAAGAAACAGACCCCCGCTCTCAATATAGGGGCAAAAGGCATCTATGGCAAAATTAATGAAGGACCCCCGTAGCCCTTTCAACGGTTACAGCCATGGATTGGAAGGAACTTACCTAAGTTTCTCTCCTTGAGGCCATATCAGCCCGTATCACCATACTCTTGTCCCTATGATTACCATTTTACTTACAAATTAAGTGCTCAATAAAGTTTAATCACAGCGAACCCCGTGCCGTCATATGTCTGCCCGGAATGCAGAAGTTCTAGCAGAAGTAAAGGACTATCGCGGAAAACAAGGCAGATGTTCGAAACTCAAATATCCCGGATGCTGATGTTTGGCACCCATGGGTTAAATTCCTATACGTTGTGCAAAGAAAGATCGCTGAAAACGTACATTGACCTACGCACTGTGCAAGTTTTTGTGATCGACAGACTGTTTTGAATTAAAATGACCACTTCGCCTTTTTGGATCTGTCTCACGTTTTAGTTATCACCGAATATTTTAACATGATGTAACAGGGCGTAACCTTGGCTTAATGCCTACATACCGAAGAGTGACAACCCGCTGCCTGTGTGTAAATTCTACTTAAGGCATGTGAGTGCTTTTTTCGGCCATCTTACTTTGGAAGTGTGAGATTTTGGGTAAAGAAAGTTAGCTGAAGAAGTAAAATGCTATTCCCAGTTTGCTGACTTTTGTGGTTAAAATGGCGTTTTCAGTTAACCACATCGACCAGTGATCAGATTACTACGGTGTGATGGTGCTGGTGCGCCCTTTGGTGTTGCAAATGTTGCCGCTTCAGCACGTAGGGCCTTCCAGAAACGACCATTTCTATGGAGATTGGACCCCTGCATAAGTGTCGTGGACCATTATGCGAATATCACAGGTTTTGCAAATATTCCACGGGCTGTGTCTTAAGCGGTGCGAGGCCACTATTCTGAAGGCCACGTGAGTTAGGTGCATTGATGAGTGAGGTAATGATTACGAGATGCGTGCCGGATTTTGATATGTCTTTCCTTTTAATTAATATTATTCAGTTTCTTCGGCCACATCGGGAGCCAGCTGCAGCAAATGCACCCATTGATCATCACCTCTCTCAGTGCAGTTGAATAACCCACCGCATTGTCTATTACCGCCGGCCACCTTTATTTGCGTCTGTAAGTGGTGGATTAGGTCGTTCCAAGCAAGAGAACTTTGTACATTAATAGCAGTCGCTATAAGCTCTTCCAGTTGAACATGTTAGTTACGGCTGCGGCGTCGGCTATATGTGTGCATGTACTTTATTCCTTTCTTAAAGGAACTAAGTCCTGAAAATTTAGATAACTTCATCTTTATGAACAGAATTGGCACTAAGCAGTGCCTGTATCAACCCTCAAACCTCCCTTTCATCGTGGAACTCGGGTAAAACGACATAATTGTGTAGCGAAAGCTTCATGTGCCCTTGGACCTTATGTGACCTTGAGTGGCCGCTGCCACCAGCCATAAGCCATCGCAGTCAGGAATAAATGGTGAGCGCCCAAGCGATCCGAACCAACCCGTTCCACCTCGGGTTGGTGGCAGAGCACGCTCTCTGACCGATTGAGCTTTCTGCGGCGGTCGCAGTAGCTAAGTAACCCAGTACTCTCTCTCTCAGTAGTGTCGTTCAGTAGCTTAGCAAACATCCATGTAGTAAACTTCCAGAAACACCCAGCAGATAAGAACGACAGCTGAGTGTCCTATTGGCTCCGAAATAAAGTTAGCTGATGAGCTCTTTCTTCTAAATAGTGTCAAAAACGGCGCGTACTCCGTACAGTCTTTGTTTGAAAACTTATGCTGCTAGCGCCGCGGCGAACTTCCGCGGTGAGTTGATCACACCTGGGAAACACATGCCGAATGTAGCCGGACAAAAGACATTTTCCAGGGATCGGGGCTCACGGTGGTGAGGTTGGAGGGTCGCCCTACTCGGCCCTAATGCCCGCGGCGGTCACGTGACCGGTCCGAGAGGCTCAATCGGCTCTACCGCCGCAGGGTCTGACCCGGGCGCCGCACTGCGAGCTGGCAGGCGGGACGGGTCCCATGCCGCAGGGTCTGACCCGGGCGCCGCACTGCGAGCTGGCCGACGGGGCAGGTCCCATACAGCCGCGTGGTGTGCTCTCACTGCCCGTGTGCACTCTGGCTGTTACGGGTAGCAGTACATCACGCGGGTACATGGTGTCAGTCTGACAAGCGCGGCAAGTGCTTGTTAGATGGACAATTGGGAAAATCACATAGGTATGTCTTAAGTTCCTGGCACTACTTATGATATGACGGTATTTTGTGAGTACTTTGTTCCTTGATCTAAAGAAGGGCGAAGCCCGCCCCTACCGGAAATATGTAAGTTGATTCAGGGGTGCATATTTTAGCAACTGCTCACTAAATGAAGAAGAAATTAGTGATGTTTTAAAGTCATGCCGCAACACTAAAGCTGGAACGATAAGACATTTTGGTTTCCGGGCTTTTTAGGATGCTAAGGGAAAGAAACGATCGGTTTCTCCAGAAGCGTTCAGGCCGTCTTGTCGGTTTTCTTCAGTCGGTGGTTCACCACCTGAAGAAAGGGTTTTTACGCGTTTTACTTGACGACTACTATACTCTTTTCTCTTAATGAAAGCTTGAGAAACTTGAAAACATGCCGAGAAAGCTTAACGCCCGAAAAAGTAATTTTATAAATATAAGTGCGCAGTAATAATGCACCCAAAGAACTTAGTTGAATAAATCGATTATGTGCAACGAAACGACAAATGTTGAAAGATGCTGGGTCCCTTCTAATCATGTAAATGTCGGATCTAGGTAGTGCCGGCTTAGTATCATGTGATGTTCGTGTTTTATTTGCCGTATCAAAATGTAGTTGGCTTGTCAGCTAACCAGGTGTGCTCAGGTAGAAACATTGAAAATTATGCAAACTACTTCCGTGCAGTGTCTACATATTTGGATCATGCGATGAAAATCCATGGCCGACAGTTCGGTGAGAAATGCATGCTGTTAGACATTTGGAACGCCAGTAATCTCACCATCTGTTGTGTGGACCTAGTCCGGTCATGGTTTCACCAGTCATGTCTCACCATGCAGCACAACAATGGGAAAGTCGTGCTTCGCTGCTGGGGTAATTTGGTATACCAGCGCAACCCCCTCAGCAGCATGACATCCCTAAATTGCCTTCCTAACAGCAACGATGCTAGTTGGTACAGACCATCAACCTTGATGGAGGGTTAACCTGCTCACAGCTCTAGACCATTTTATTCTGTTGGGCGCACCAGAGACGAAGCTGTTCGCAAAGGTCCCATTGTTCCTGTGGTTTGCATATTGCACATCATGAGCCAGACACAAATGGCACGCATACTTCTACAAGATGCGATGATGGCTGCGTCGCCTCGGTAGCTTGGCTTCTGTAGAGCTATGTAAGGACAGTTTTCCGTTCAGGTTTGTGCAGAGATCAAGACCGAGCTGTTCTGCCCTGTGCTCTGCTGGGCATTGTACTATACCTCTTGGTCGCGCCGTTCTCACAATGCATCAGAAACCAAAAACTGAAATTTGTTGAAGAGTATTACAGGCCAATTGTTATAAGAAATCCGTAATTACTTCTCCCGCTGAGTTCATCCTTCGGTCGCAGTATTTGAGAATGTGGTTGTGCTAATGACCACAAGCACTGCTGGCAACGGACAGTATTTTCGTAACATATTTGAATGAGTTCGTGACAGCTGCTGTGAACTAATACCGTATGATGCGTTGGAGGTCGGCTCTTTTCAGCGCAGAATCTTGAAATTATGCAATGAAACCATTTTGAAAGCGTTCATTTTAGTATCTGTCTGAAAATTGTACTACAACGGTCAGGAACCAACTGGGGATTTATTTTTGCGTGTAGGGAGTACACTAGGAATCGGGAATGCTATCTTGGGCGGATGTTGTTTGTGCCTTAACAAGTGATGTGCTTATGGCAATATGAGCTCAGCTGAATGGCAGTGCCTATTGGCATCTATTGTCGAACATCATCTACAGACATTTGGTCTGATAAGTGCCGTCTGTCTGCCAAAACGCTCCTTTTTATAAGCGACCCAGTATAAAAACACGGATAATGATGGTAAAGGAGGGTGCACTTTCCGCACTCCGCCGCGGGGTTAGCCTGGATAAACGTAAAATGGGCGATGTTGATAAAGCTCAGCCAGTGCGTCGCAGACTACGTGAATCGATTAGTGAAGAACGGCTGGACAGGGAAAGGCTCCATGTTAGCACTCGTCAAACTGTGTTCCAAAATAAGGGTGTTGACGCAAATGTCAAAGCACTGAACGCATTACTAATGTTTACCGAATGACACTTTCGAGCGTAGACGTGTGGAATTAGACGCAGACAGGTGAGCCTTACGCACAGGTAAATAAGCAGTTGAACAAACTTTTCCGCCTGTCCATATTCATCATTAAAACAGACATTTATGCACAAGGCATGGAGGGGAATCAACCCGATACCGCCCGAAGTATTTCGCTATCCGCGGCCGCCCGGGGTAAGGGATAGGATTAAAGCGTCCCGCTGGTGTCTCGGGATCTAATTGGCAGATCGGAAAAAAATGGAATAACAGGTCATAGCCGAGACTAGCTTTGCTTTGGCATCGCTAACGTGACAAATGCCACATCACTGACAACGTCACAGGTCGCGCGAACATTTTAAAACTTGAACAAAACCTGGTAACGGCTTCAGTGTCCCCTAGTACGCGTAAAGAAGGGTTGGAAAGCTCTAAAACCGGCTCTGAATTATTGTGACTTGGATCTTCCGAATTTTACGGTGGTGTTGCCATGACCATAACAATAAGATGGTTGTATCATATTTACTATTATTGTTTCATCGCTACCTTATCGAATAAGGTTTTTCTGCTCCTCAGGGGTACATGACATGTATGCCATTGGTCTGAATGTATGCCAGTTTTACCGATTCATGTATAAAAAATGGACGTAATATATCGCCTCGGCTTGACTCGGTATGACCTCTCATAGCCTATAATGGTTGCATGGTCTGACCTTGTATAGTGTGACTGACCCTAATTAGCAGTGGGCCACACTTGTCGGCGAATTTTGTCGAAATGGCACGAAACAAGACAGGAAACTATGAATTCTGCACGTAGGGCAAAAATGTCCGGTCATCGTTTTACTGTCGATGACATAACTCGATGATCTGTGCTAAGATCGAAGGAACTCCTGCAGAATTTGTCAAATTAATTACATGTCAGGTTTTTAAGCCTTGGCGGGCAATCCTGACGCGTCTCGGGGCCATTCACAAAACTAAAAGAGAGTTTGCTTTCATCATCTGCCCAGGCGGCGTGAGCTGAAATATTTTGTGTGGCTTTACGAACAAAAACGTCGGAAGAGCCCCCACCGATAGTGCATGTGCTCTCGCCTTCGCCTGATGGAGTTCACAAACTCTTTACTGTCTAAACAGCAGCCATGTGCGAGCCAAAACGGAGCACGCCATCAGAGAGCTCGCGTCAAGCTGCGCTGGATTGGTGACGTCACACACCAATGCGAGGGATCTTTGTTGGCTTAGATCAGGTCGACGACGTTTAATGATGAATCTAGGTCCCGTTTTTTTTCCTTTGAAGTATTTAAGCGGTGATACATCACGGCTTTTCTCTATTAAGCTACTCAGGCAAGTCTTGGCCGCGCTCGCGATGTCGGAAAAATGGATAAACCCGTGTCAGTTTTCGAGACGCGCTCGGAAACAGCATCACTGTACAGTTCGCCACAGATGCATTGGCTGCGCTTGCGTTGAAGCGAGTGTTGTACATGTGTGTGGGGTTTGCACTGAAATAGCCATCTTGAAGATTATTTGGTGCAGTTTACTGCTTTGCTCTAGACCCAAACCCCTGTAGTTTATCAGCCGCACAACCGCGAAGATGTGCATAGTTTTTTGGGCAGACGATTTCAAGGTCACCCAGGTATGCATGACACCAGAATAATGACATTTAAATCCTGCCATTCCTCTAGCCATGTGGTGATTAAGGCCAAGGAAAAGTATAGTTGTCGAGTCGCTCGTATCTGGCGTCCGTGAGTGCCATTTCCCGATATAACCGTCGTCAATCCACTGTCAATCAGTGTTGTGCGAGGTACATTGACATGATCGAACAATGACTTTTCCACTTAAACGTGTACCAAAACTTATGAGTGAGCTTCTTTCATCAAACCTGGTGCCTCAATATTTTCAAATGTGGAACATTCCCTTTAACATAGGGTCACTACTGACATGGACGCGTTTGTATTGGTACTGTTTTGTGCTTTGCAGGGACAGATTTATATATTTTAACCTTAAGCACAGCATACTTGACACCTAAATATTGCATCATTGCAGCCTTACCACACTACCCGATATGTAACACAAACATGGGCATAGGCAGCGTTTTAGTTGACACCGCTTTGTCCGCTGGTCAAAATGATCATTTGTGGATGCAAAATGACGCATCAAACGCATTGTGTTCTTGCTCATGTTAAATCATCTGAAGTTTTGACCTTCAATCAGCTGGTACTTAAGGGAGGACTTATATGATATAAAAGTCCTGGGTTATTATTATAATCAAGGATAAACCGGGACTTGGATTTCTCACCCTTGAATACGGTAATCCTGGCGACACCAAAGAAGCGTACCTCTTTTTTTACCTATTGCTGCAATTCGTTACCACACCTTTCCTTGCCACAATTTTCGCCTGTGAGTAAATGACTGGACTGGTTCTGATGACTGAATGACTGGAAGCTGCTAACATGGAACGTCTGCGAAACACGCGCCGTCATAGCCAAGCACACGCTCGTGCCTGTTGGGAGCGTGGTGATGACATGTGTCTCTTCGGCAGGCTTCAACTTCATGGGGATGCCTTTGCTCGTGGAGCCGTCCGTCTCACCGGCTGCGGGGGTCAGAAAAGGGTAAGATGGCTCGAGGTGTGACCGCGCCTCCGCCGGCACGGAACTGTCCCGGCGTGTGTCGTGCGGTCGTGCAGTGCCCGTCGGCGGGCTGGCCCGGGTGGGGGGGGGGGGGGGGGGGGGGTCCGCTGGCACGCGTGCCCGCTCTGATTGGGCTGCGCGCCATCTCCTCCTGCACGGGGCGTGCACGACCGGAGGCTCTCCACATGGCGTGCCTCGCTCCGTCCCTGACGAGCCCGCAACCCGCGTGCCCTCCCCCCCCCCCCCCCCCCCCCCCCCCAGCGCACTGGGCGAACCCGTTCTATCGCCGGCCCGGACAACCGTGTTGGCGTCGCGTTCCTCACCCAGTCGGCGGTCAGCTACCGACCCTCTTCAAACCCCGCCGCGTGCCGTCCACTCCCTGAACACGCCAGTCCACACGCCGATACAGAAAGGACAGAACGCCGGCCGAATGACGGGCTGGCGCTGTCCTAGCTCTGATTGTGGTAGCGCAGGTCATAAAGTCAAGTCGCCCTTTTATGGTCCGCCATTCAGCCACGTGCAGACCAATCAGCGAAGTGAGCTCGCTCAGAAATGCGAGGCATTCTGAAAGGCTACTCCGCCCGCGGTGCATTATTTATAGCGATTGTTGGCGATATTACCTGGACAGGCTCGCAAACGGACCCGTGCTGTTGAGGGCCGACAGAGTGACGGCGCGTTGTTGCAGGGTGCCGGGCTTTGAACCGCCTAGCCGGTAAGTCATTGAAAGCGTGAGGGTGTGACGCACCACCCGGTGGGGAGCAGTTAGGTGCAAGGCGTTTTCACGCCTACGCGAACAAGGATGCTGAAAAGATCCTGTTGATAGTGATCCGTCAAGAGGCCCCGGACAGAGAGCGATAGTCATCGTGACGGCATGGGCGGCAGGTCGCACTCAGCCAAGCGCTCCCTCTCTACCAACTAGCGCTGTGCAGATAATTTGTCCAAGGGGTTGGACAGGGAGCTGTCATTCCACTCAGCTGGAATGGGGTTGTGCGTATTTGTTTTGTGACCGCGGCGTCTGCAAGTCTGCGAGTTCGGGAGTTTGGCATGCTCCGTGACCACCGACACTAGATACTAATGCCTTTTGGGATGATTCGCTAGTTCCTTGTTTAACTGGGGTAAAACTGACATTTATATGAGCGACTGCCAGCACCAAAAGTAACAGTGAGCAAAAGGAACGGTCTGGGGTCCCTCTGAAATAAAGGGAGTGGAAAGGGCCTCCAGCTTCCCTTCCCTGGGTGCGCTTCTGCTGCGAACTTATCGCACTCTCAGTGCGCCCACCAGATAACAATGACGGCAGATTTCATCCGGCCGGCCTCTCCCTGCCCGCGCGACCGCCCTCCGACCGCCGATGCTACCCTCCATCAGCGGTCAGCTGGTCTGTCAGCCGGCTGCGGGTGGCGCGTCATCCGGCGGCCTGCGCGCTGTCGGCGCCGTGTCGCCAAATATAGCCGGCCAGCTGATCAGCCGCGCCGGCGGCGCCGGTCGGGTCGCCGCGCGCGGCCGTATCTCGGCGCTGCCGCCGGCCTGACGGAAACCGGTGTCGCGGGGCGGGCCCCTCGAGCCCGACACCCGCAGAGGCGGCCGCAGCCGGGCGGCGGCGCTCGGGCCGGCCGGTCGGCTGGTCAGCCGTGTTTGCATCCATGGGGCGAGTCGCCGGTCCCTGCTGGAGATGTCTGGTGCGTGGGGCATTGCCGCCGTCATGGGTCGTGCCACGCCCCCGGCCGAGTCCTGCCGTAACGCCACGTGCGGCGAGGCGGCCGGATCGGCGCAGGGGCGGTGTCAGCAGGGGGGTGGCCGGCCCCGGCGGTCGGGGCTCGGCGCGCGCGGCACGGGCTCAGCTCGTGGAAGAGGGGGTGTCAGGCGGCGTGTGGCCCGCTGGACGACTGCCAGCCGTAGGTGGGAGCTGCGGCATGGCGGGTGTGCTGGCGGCCGCGCCAGCTGCCACTGAAATCGGGACGACGTGGTAGCCTGTCACCATTGGAAGACGCTGGCCTCCCACTGCCCGCCAGCATTGGTCGGCACTTTCCACCGGCGCGAACAGCTCGTCCGCCTGCCCAGAAGGTATGCGTCTCTGCTCCGTGGGTCGGCCGCTTTGGGTCGCCCAGGGTGTCCATCCAAGCCACCTACAAACAGCGGAAGGCTTCTGGTCCTGGCATTTCAGCCGTGCGCGGGTTATAGGGAAACCCCCGTCCTGTCTTTAAGTTTTCCTGGTCCTACAGGGGCACCCCAGGCCAGCTGCCGGCGACCCCCGTGGCGACCAGCCCGTTCTTGATCGGATCCGGCTGACGCGCTCCGGTGCCGGGCCCCGTCCGGTCTCCACGTGTCGCCCGCCGCCCGGCCCCCTCCCCTCCCCCGCCGGCCGGCTGGCGAGGGGCCGTTTTTGCCCCGTGGCGGGCTTGGCGAGCCGTGGGGCGGCGCCGATCAATACGGCTAGTCGGGCCCGGCCGAGCGGCGCGACCTGGCCCGACGCTGCTCGCGCCGGCGCCGGCCGGCCGGCCTCTCGCCGCCCGCTGTTGGCGTAGGTCTCGGCCGGGCCGCGCCCCTCAGGTCAGCGACGACGACCGACGAGCCGGCGGGACTCGTCGCGAATGGCGGCGGCGGCCAACGAGCAGGTCTGCCAGACGGCGGCCGCTCGCCAGGGACGGGAGGAGCGGAGGGGAGCCGGCAAAAACGGCCGATAAACGTCGGCGGGGGTCGCACCAAGGACGGCCACCGAGGGCCGCCGGTGGACCTGGCCGGGGCGGGAGCCGCCACACGAGCTGTAGCGAGTTAGCCGCCGGTGGACCTGGCCGGGGCGGGAGCCGCCACACGAGCTGAAGCGAGTCAGCCGCCGGTGGACCTGGCCAGGGCGGGAGCCGCCACACGAGCTGTAGCGAGCCAGCCGCCGACGGACCTGGCCGGGGCGGGAGCCGCCACACGAGCTGAAGCGAGTCAGCCGCCGGTGGACCTGGCCGGGGCGGGAGCCGCCACACGAGCTGTAGCGAGTCAGCCGCCGACGGACCTGGCCGGGGCGGGAGCCGCCACACGAGCTGTAGCGAGTCAGCCGCCGGTGGACCTGGCCGGGGCGGGAGCCGCCGCACGAGCTGAAGCGAGTCAGCCGCCGGCGGACCTGGCCGGGGCGGGAGCCGCCACACGAGCTGAAGCGAGTCAGCCGCCGGTGGACCTGGCCGGGGCGGGAGCCGCCGCACGAGCTGTAGCGAGTCAGCCGCCGACGGACCTGGCCGGGGCGGGAGCCGCCGCACGAGCTGAAGCGAGTCAGCCGCCGGCACTAGCCCTGGTCCTCCGCCGCAGCGGCCGAAGTCGCGCCGGTGACGCAGCGCTGACGATGTGGGGATCCGTGGGGCGGCGCTCGGGCGGTGCGATCCGCGAGCGCTCGTCCTGGCTTGTTGATTTGTTACGGGAGCGGCGGATTACAAGGCTGTCGTGGTTTTTCAGAGAGTCGAAGCGAGGTCAAACTGAGTCGTGGGTGGTTAGTTATGACTGAAGGATGGAGGACCCTCCGGTGTTTAAGACAGCTGCCCGACGAATTCTGCGCAAGACTGAAAACACACGGGCAGGGTCTGGCGGGAACTGGCCGCGGAGCGCTGATGCTGGTGAGGGCTTGTCTAGACGAGTCCAGCCGGGCGGGCCCTGGTGGCCTCCGTGCGCGTGCTGGCCAGCCACGCCGCTGCCTGCAGCCTGTCCGGACACTGTTCTGTAGGCTGGTCTGCGGACCTCGCCGCGGCGGTCATTCTTCGCCATCCACCGTCTGCCGGGATGAGATGAGGTGCGCAGGCCGTGGGACGGTGGTCGGCGCGCAAGGCCGGCGGGTCACGGCCGCTCGTCTCTTCCCCCTACCCCTCCCCCTCGTTCGAGGTAAACGGAGACCCACCGGCTCCTTTCAGTCTTCTGTAAATATCTATATTGGCTTTCTAGGAAAAGTAGTTGTGGTCTAGCTGTGCATACACGTGTCCACATTGACTGGGATGCTGCAAAATTGCATGTATTCTTTTGGTTTCGGTTCAGAGGCCACTCTTTCGCACGGTTTGGTGATCTCGCTGACGTGCTGGTGGGGTACTTTGGTAGTAGCGCTGGTGCTGAGACACCGCGATCCCCCAGCCGTCGTGCGCAGCTCGCTAGGACCCTGGTGCTGTTGATGCAGGGGACACCGATGTACGATCTCGTGGTGCAATGGTTAGTGGTGCGCGACCTCATCGCGCGGAGGGTTCGTCCAAATATTGTTGTTCATCTTCGATGAGCGTTTCAGTTTTGGAAGTTGAGCCCTTTGTAACGGCCCCTGATCTCAAGTCTCCGGCTTTGTGAGTCACCTCTCTTTCTGAGCGGCCCTGATCTCGTGTCTCCGGCCCCGTGAACCACCTGTCTTTCTGAGAGCCCCTGATCTCGTGTCTCCGGCCCCGTGAACCACCTGTCTTTCTGAGAGCGTCTTATCTCATGTCTCCGGGGCCTGTGAACCGCCTGTCTTTCTGAAGGCGTCTTATCTCATGTCTCCGGCTCTGTGAACCACCTGTTTTTCTGAGAGCCCCAGATCTCATGTCTCCGGGCCTGAGAACTGCCCGTCTTTCGTTCTGCACTTGAAGCGGCCGAACTGATAGCTGTCGGTTTGGCTCCGTTCACTGAATGTCTCTCTTCAAATTGGCCCCTGATAGTTCCCCATGGTCAGAAATGGATCTGAGGCGACACCCATCATGCGTGACTTTGTGCCTTCAACGTCCATGCTCAGTTTCATTTGTAATTGGTTTTGAAGTGGTTTTGTAAATAGTAAAGTGGTCGAGGCTTTTGAGCTGCTTAAAAACAGCGGACGTCCCCTTGAAATAGTCGTGCGATACGGGGAGGGGGGGGGGGGGGGGGCGGAGCGGAACTGTACTCGTGCTTAAAAACAGTACAGGACTGACTGAGAGACTCGTGTGAGACTCGAGGCGGGGTATTTGTTCGTTTGTCCATTGGTTATATTTGGAGCGTGCTGGGCGTGACTGTAGCTGTAC